TGGGGAAGATGAGGCAAATGGTGCACTCAAATACAGGGGGGAGTAGGGGGGAAATGGGGGCGTCTTATATAACGAAAAATTCCAAGTGATTCCAAGGTTAGTCTACTGCCTAGTTAAGTGGTTAGAGCACATGTGGACTAATATGTATGAGTCATGTCACATAAAGCCCTCCAGTAGAGCTCCCTAGCCTAGGTATGAACGTGAGAGATATTATTGAGTCTGGTGGGAGAATATCGCTCGTCCCAAACTCCCTTGATCTGGTGAAAACGCAGTGAATTCGGCTCTTGGTATTCGCACGGAACCACTTCCCTGGGTGCTCAGCCACCGATTGTATAGCGGTCACCCCACACGTCCTACTGTTTGTTGGTGGTTGGGACGCTCTCACTCTCTCTGTGTATTTCTCTCTCTCTCTTCCTCCCTGTGCGGTCAACTAGCCTGCTGTAGTGGTCACTGGCCACCTCATCAACCTCTCATCGCTGTCCTCTCACGCGAGACCTGCCATCACTAGATCCTGCGTTTCAGTACCTCTCCAATTCAAAAAGACTCAATTTTGTTCACAAGGTTGCGGAAGACTCGCGGTATGCTCTTGTTGGTTTATTTCTTTTTAAAAAAAAAAAAGTTCTCATGCTATCTTAGGCAAGGAGACTCAGACCCGTGCCCTCTATCAGGCTGCTTAGAGTCGCTCGCGTTTCCTTTAGGTTTATATACAGAAGCTAGTAGCTTTTAGATGTTTTCTTGCGGTGGGTAGTAAATCTAGAAAAGGTTGTTATTATATCTATTCAATTATTTACATTTTATTAACTCCGCTTAGTGTATATATATATACCTATCGTTACCTAACACTTCCATTCCCCATATAGGTGCTAGTTATCGCTTTATATAATTCGAACCACGGAGTATAGATAAAGAGATAGAACATTAGCGTAAAACAATCGTTAAGGGTATACCCTTACAAAAAAACCATACCTGTAATCAACAGTTGGTAGTGAGTGGCCATGAGTTGATCCGCAGGTTTCTGGAACCCTATTTCTTCCATCATGTAGGTAAAGATGTGCGAGGCTTCCACCAATCAGCTCGCATGGCTTAGTGGTAAAGCGCATGACTAGTAATCATGAGATCCTCGGTTCGACTCCGAGTGTGAGCATTTCTTTTTAAAAAATTATTATTTTTAATCAGTGCACCAGCCACTATCTAAGATGCAAAGCTTTTTTTTTCCGGACTTAAAATTACCTTCTACGGGATGAAAAAGAACGTACAAAAGATACGATAAGCCATAATAAGTAACTGATTATTTCTGCAAAGTACATATGTATACATAGAAAAGTATTTCTTTTGCACAGAGTATGATTTTTTTTTTTAACCGCCCTCGTATATATATTACATACATATAAAAAATACATATAAAAACCACGAACAAGACATCACAAGGCGGCGTAAGCGGCCGACTAGTTTTGTTTTTTTTTATACTTCGTACAAGGAAAGATTAGATTGCAAATTTTAAGTTTTTACCGCCTATACTTATACATAACCCTATATATGTAGCTGTAATAATAATGAGGGAAATATCTAGTTAAGTAAAAATATTACATATGCACTAAAAAGACGTCATGGGGTCGCCATATCCCAGCAATTCCTATGTCGGATAAGAAAACACAAAAAAATGCTCACACTCGGAGTCGAACCGAGGATCTCATGATTACTAGTCATGCGCTTTACCACTAAGCCATGCGAGCTTCTTATTGTAAGTCCGGCACTTCCTTGACTACAGAAGGCTATTTTTGAGAACTGCAGCCAAAAACAGGTCTCATGATAACAGTCATTAATATAGGCCATACCGACGTATTAAAATGGTAAACTCTGGCAATATATACAGTCCATGGACTGGCATAATATTTGGATTATTCTCCTCTACAACCACCGCTTCTGTATATCTATACCGCCTACCTAAAATGGGTGGACACCACCTATTAATCATAAGCTTTTCTTGACTCTCCCTGAGCTACCAATATAGACATGTCCGTGCGGGCCAAGCGTAAAAAAATTGTCCAATGACTGTATGAAGAAGCAGTTTCCTGAAAAGAAGGGGAAAAAAATTGCTCACACTCGGAGTCGAACCGAGGATCTCATGATTACTAGTCATGCGCTTTACCACTAAGCCATGCGAGCTTGTTATTGGAAGCCGGGCATTCTTTGACTACATAAAGCCATTGCAAGTTAACCGGAAATCGTCACCCAGCAACTCAAATATAAAGCTTACCTTCCTTCCTACATCTCATGAAACCGCTTTAAATACTCGCATAACGAAAGGCCGAGAAGTCATAGCAGGGTGATCTGGATATCATGTGCTCTCGTTAGCGTTTAGCGAGTGTCTGTAATTTTGTTGACTTTGGGCAATTGATACAATCACGTGCTTCTCTTTGGATTAGACCTCCCCTGATCTGTCGGGCTACTATATCCATGACTTTGTGATTGTGATGTATAAATTTCTAGTCTATACATGTACGTAGCAACCTTGTTTTCAATACCATGATAACGCCGCTTTTGTATCTCCTTGGAATTGATATCCTTGATTCCTCGGATACAATACCAGAAAACCCAACAGCTGTCACGTGATAACTAAATCAAACAACGACGTGGCTGTTGAGGTATAAAGTTGTAATTGTAACTTATAGTAATCTGAAAAATCAGGTAGGAGTGGGGCGTTTCTATCAATACCTTCCATGTTGTATATGTGTAATATTTGATGTTGTAATTATGCACTCCGTATGTCATTTCTGAACACAGCTGAAACTGTGCGGGTATACTGTAAATAGATATGTCTGGCATAGTAATGATACCTCAGCTGCAACAAAAAGCATCCAAGTAGCCTCTTTAGCTCAGTGGTAGAGCGCGTCACTCGTAGTAGAAATACGAACGTATGAAATGACGAGGTCATCGGTTCAATCCCGATAGGAGGCATTCTTCATTTTTTTGAACCTATATTTTTGGATTGTCATATGTATGTAATTATTGAAGTGAATCCAGGCATGTTGCAGGGGGCATGTAAGAAGGGCAAAAAGGGGCTGAATTTATGAAAACAATTTTTTCCATGAGAACTTTTGATAAGAGCAGTCGCCCTACGGCTGGGTATAGTTTCAGCAAATTCATTACTTCGTGGGGTGGGAGAGGGGGTTTGTCAAGCCAATTATTTCAAATATGTCATCGGTAGCATTGCGGTGTTTCTGTGTTATTCCCTTCTACCTACATATAATAAGATGTTCCGGTAGAAGGCCGGGTCTTCAACTCATGTAAGATGTAAATGCTGGATTAAAGGCCCCGATTTATGCAATATGAGACATGGTTGAAAAAGAAAATCTTGAATGGCTTTCTGTGCTATTGTAGCTGGTATCATTATGAAAATCGAATGCAACGCCCGCTTTAAAAACACTCAATCATCATCTTCATCGGGGTCGTAGAGATCAAGGTCCAGCATTGCCTTGGGCTTGGGTTTCGGTGCTGGCGCGGGGACATGCGCCCGCGGCATTCCAGCGGCTGATGATCCGGCTTGAACTGCAGCCTTCGCAGCCTCGCCCGCCTGCTTTGTGCTTTCCGCGGGTTCCACCGGTGCTGGGGGCTCTGCGGCCCCAAGACCCTCAGCTTCACGTAATAATCGTTCCACCTCCTTCTCGGGATCATCACCAGCAGAAAGCTGGATTTGACCCATCAATCCCATCCGTATCCGTTCCTCCATCGGGTAGGGCAGCATGTAGACCTGGCGCGTAACATTTGCGGACTCGTCCAGCCACTGCGTTGCATTTTTGGTGACAGATGCCACTGGCTCTGCGCCCCCCTCTGTTGGTTGTTCTCCGTTTGTTCCCGTCATCGTCACATCCTTGTCGGCGAGTGTATTTCCTTGTTCCTGCCGTTTCACAACGCCTGTTGCGGCATCGGCTGCTGCTTCGTGGTTGTATTTGCTGATGCGACGTGCGAAATCCAAGAGTAACTTGTAGTCAATCTCTTTGATTCCCCGTAGCAATGATTTCTTTCCTCCAAGGTCGTCATCGGAGTCAGACTCGAAATCGCTGTCGCTGTCGCCGTTGTCTCCACAAGCTGTGCGGATCTCTTTCTCGAAGCCTTCAATATCCCCCACGATTCCCTTGACTCGGTCCTCCAATTGTTGGGCCTCGTTCCGTAGTCGAAGAATCTTTGCGTGGTTTTCTTGGTGCTGTCGAAGGGTTTCAATGGCGGAGGTTAGCGTGTCGTCCGCATCGAGCAGGGCGACAGCTGCTGCGGGGGCCCCTGCAGCAGTGGGAGAGGTTGTGAGACTAGTCAGGAGAGCATTGAGTTTGGATTCGACATCAGTCAGGGCAGACTGGACAAGTGCGTTCATTGTTGGGTTGTGCTCTTGGGAAAACAGCTCGCACGCGCGTGGGGAAATGAACGGGCCGGGTTCCGATTACAGGTCACGTGGATACATATGAGATAAATGTAAATGAATGTAATAATTACATGGGTTTCTGATTTTTTTTTATATCTTTTTGAGATTATATCTGTTGCACTGCTGAATTCTGTCTTTTTTCTCACTGGTGGGGGGTGATAGAGCTCCCCCGGGTATATATAACGATCGCCCGGCCACTTGGAAACCCTCCGGATTTGCTCAACTTCCAACTTCTGTTTAAATGAAAAGTGACCGAGTCAAGTTTGTCTTCCGATCAAGTGGATTCGATTCCATATGTAACCATCCAGCCTCCTATTCCCCGCTATGGATATGGCCCAGGACTGATTCTCATACGACCTCTTTGTTACGCGAGATGTCAGCAACAAAATAAGACGCTTGATCCAAAACCTCTCAAAAAAAAAGGGCAGAGGAAAGTGGCACAGATTACCGTGAATAAGAAATCTGCCATTGGCATATCATCTCTACGAGAGCTTCTTCGAGAAGCTGAGCGAGGCTTAACAGGGAGGCTAGAGTGCGATACGAAGGAAAAGGTTGGAGTCTGCAAGGCGCACTAGTTCAAAGCATGGCTCTGATCACCGGAGTATTCTTCAACTCCATCCCCCAGCATCATGATTCCCGGCCACCCGGATTTCAAGATATCGACAGCAGGAGTAAGCCATACGCGGAGTGTCGGGTTTGTTAAAAAGCACATAGGTGGGCCATTCTTTGACCCGGAGTAGATCTGGGACGAGCATACCTATCATGAATTTGAAGCGCGCTCGGTGGAAACGACAATGGCGACGATGGTCCCAGAGTCCTATGTGAATCATGTGCCAAATCTAACAGGAGGTATTGGACGAGCCCATTTGAGTCACTTTTATCTCAATCACTTCATCTTCAATAACCCCGATGACACAGTTTTGGAGCTTATTAGTCGGACAGTTGGCACCGACCGTATTGTGGACGAGTTTATATTCGTCTTCACCGATGTGAAGCAGATGGACTGGATGTGGGCGTTGTGATTCCTGTGATTGAATCGAGTAATCAACCGATGACTTTCACCCCTAGGATCCCCGGAATCCATCCTACGGGAAAACACGTTCTCGTTCCATTTACATCTGTAGTCAACATCCGAGGAGATCGCTTGTTCCATGAACACATTGCATGGGACCAAGCAACAGTACTTATACAGCTGGGTCTGTTACCCGAATATCTGCCTTTTCCATATACACTGCCCGACGGACCTGTGCCAGTGCAGGGGAAACAATTCGAGTACCGTGTGCCAGCAGTGGGCGCCGAGAGCGCGGCGAAACTCCAGAATGAGCATGAAGTGCCTTCTAACCAGATGTTTGAGTATAAGATTCGTGAGGTGGATGATTGAGGAATTAATTGACTGTAACAGACTACTCCGTAAGTAAACAATCGTATATGACTTTCGGAATCCCCGGCTAACATTTGTGATGTTGCAGTCAGACTACCCCGCAGACTCGGCGCAGAGGCTGTGCTCGCCAACAATTTCCCATACTTTTGTAGCGGAGCTCACCCCGGATTTAGTGTAGCGCTGATGGGCTGGAATACGGATTCTGGGGAAACTGGTCTTTTATTGGTGTGCTATCACCGAGCCCGAAAGCGATGTCTTGCCTTGACATCATCGCGCGTTTGGGTCGCAAAAAGGAACTGACCGCTGACTTGGATTACCATGATTGGCAGGGGAGTCTACTATTTGGGTAGTATGTCGCTCGTTCTGCGTTAGATTCATCGGATACTCCACTCGGACCTATAGATAAAATATATACTTTGTAAGCTTACTATTATGTATTTATAACCTGGCCTGACTTTGGGGTTTTTGGCTAGTATTAATATAAGCCCAGAAGCTCTACTGGTTCTCTCTTCCCTGCGTTTTTATTCTGCTTTTCTGGGGTCAAGATGGTCAACTTGTTACTGCTAACGCTGGCCTCAGCGTGTCTGGCTTCTAAATTACCAGTTGTTGATCTGGGATATGAGCTACACCAAGCAATTTCATTCAATGTCTGTGGAGCCTTATTTGGTTTGATTTTCCTTGCTGACGTTTGAAATAGAGCTCCCATGGGCTCTATAATTTCAGCAATATCCGCTATGCAGCACCTCCAGTTGGCGACCTGCGATTCCAGGCACCGATACTTCCAAACCAAAACAGAGAACACATCCAGAATGGCTCTGTGGGTAGGATATGCCCACAGGCAGCCCCACTGTGGTCAAATACCCAACAAGCTTTCCTCTTGAGCTACTTCTATAACCAGTCCCTCTCCATATCCACAAACATCTCTTCCTATGGGTACAAGCCGGCGGAGCAAGACCCACGCACCACCGAGGACTGTCTATTCCTTGACGTCGTTGTCCCCCAAAAGATATTCGAACGCACCAAAGGTAAAGCTGCAGTATCCCGAAAGAACTTGGCCCCGGTGCTGGTGTGGATCTATGGCGGAGGGTACGTGGGTGGAGACAAGAGCAGCTCAGACCCAACTGGGTTGATCCAGCGAAGTAGGTTGGGAAATGATGATGGAATTGTCTACGTTGCCTTGAATTATCGAGTAAGTCGAACGACACTCCTAGCTCGGTCTCTATGAGAATACTAATTTCTCTAAAGTTGGGTGCATTTGGCTGGCTTGGTGGTGACAGTATCACAGCGAATGGCACTGCCAACGCAGCACTCCATGATCAACGGTTTGCTCTTGACTGGGTATATAAGAACATCCATCTTTTCGGTGGGGATGCAACTCGAGTCACAGTTATGGGAGAGTCTGCTGGAGCAGGATCAATCCTCCATCAGATCACCGCCTATGGAGGTACACGGGGTGCTGCACCCTTCCAACAAGCGATCTTACAGAGCCCAGGCTGGGTCCCAGTCATTGGCGAAGAGCAACAAGAAGACACACTGCAGCAGTTCTTAGGGATTCTCAATGTCAGCACGATTGAACAAGCCCGGAAATTGTCCTCCGACAAATTAATCGCGGCCAATGCGTACCAGATCGCGACCAAGTCTCAGTGGGGACAGTTCACCTACGGCCCCGTTGTGGACGGCAATTTTGTGCCTGCTCTGCCAGGACAACTTTTGCTTTCGGGCGATTTCGATCATAACCTGAACATCATGGTCGGCCATAACGCGAACGAAGGGTTGGTCTTCACTTCGCCGGACAGTGTCAATAGCACCGGTCTGGCAACTCAAATGAAGACCTTGTCACCGAATACTCCAACCAACGTGTCTGACTTTGTCTTGGATGTCCTCTATCCACCGGTCTATAACGGCTCCTATGGGTACACTGACTCGGTCGCGCGCACGGCGCTCGTCATCTCCGATCTTATCTTCCAGTGCAATACGGATTATATCAACCGCGCTTTCTACAATGAGACCTATGCATATGAGTTCAGTATTCCGCCCGCGCTGCATGGACAAGATGTCTCGTACACCTTTTACAACAATGGGAGTAGCCCTTCGCTCTCGGGGGTCGCTAATGTGACGGTGGCGTTGGCTATGCAGGACTATTTTACTAGCTTTGTCCAGCATGGGGCACCAAAATCCCACCTGGCCCCAGTCTTCAGAAAACATGGCCCGCATGCACAGCTCATGAACATTGGCAATCATACCATCCGGCCGACACAGGATCCGACCAATAACGCACGCTGTCGGTTCTGGCAGACTGCGCCCTATTATAAACCGACCTGAGCATGCATTGTCTTATAGAAATGAAGTACGGAGTACTCCGTGCATAGGATGTTTAATAAATAGCCAAGGTCAATTGGTGAAAGTCCAGGGGTAGGGTTGGAAATGATTAAGATAATTAATTAGGGATTGGCAAAATATCCTTATACCAACTCCGCATGTAGAAACCTTATGTGCTGGATTGAGGCCGATTGGACTATGAACGAAGCAATGGAGTCAAATGATCGATTCTGAGGCACGAAACTTGAACAAAATTGCCGACCTAATTATCCAACCTTGGAACGTTGTGTAGCTCGTATTATTTGATCCGTGCCGGCACCGGACATTTTGATTGGGAGAAAGCGCCATTGCACAATCGAATGGGACTAAGGTGTAGGAGCCACGGAGTAGAGCTCTACACTTCAAGGATCCTTCAAATAATCACCAGGTTAACAGAGGGTTTATTCCGCAGAGCTCTTTTATTTAAGACACCTCCAATCCTTATCACATTTGGCCAACGCTAATATCGATCTATGGCCCTAGAGGGCATGCGCGCGCCCCCGGGGCCATTAGAATATATTAGATTGACCCACCGAAAAAGTCGGGTTGGCCAGGAGTGCTCTTTTTACACTAGAACAAAGCCCGTTAGTGAGTTCATGCCACTTGGATCATACATATACATATGAGGGGATTGGTTAATATCGCGACGGCTAAATAATCTAGTTAGGTACGGAGTAGAATGGGATCCTTCCAAGGTTTAATATCATCACTGTGGTAATATACCTTTGTCTACGTTACATATCGGCAAGTCCGGTTGAAAATGAAACAGAAAAAAGAAAGAAAGAACAAAATCCATTTGAGACATTTCCCGTGAAATTCCTTGTGATTTAGGAATAATTGAAACTGCAGAGTCAAAGATACTAAGAATAGCCCCCCTATGCCCCCCAATGCCCAAGACAGCCACTAAAAAACGAGTGAAACATCAATTGTGGGGAGCCAAAGCCAACGCTAAGCTTTTTCTGCCTTTTCTCGTCTCAAAGTCTATTTCCAGGCAACGATGATTCCTTCGATTCCCTTGGTTATTATTTGTTATTATTTGTTATAGGTCTTATATAGTATGTTTTACGGAGTATGTTGTACTCCGTACAAACGGTTATATTAAAGATAGGTAGCCCCCAGGGCTGGAGCTTAAATCTACCTAAACTCTCTTTTTATCTCTTCTCTTCTCTCCCTTATTCACTCACTCTCTTTGTCTCCTTCATTTCTAGTCCACTTCTTTCCTTCATATCCCAAATCTCCCAATATGCAGCTGCTGTGGGCAATCCTCATAGGAAGTGCCCTCGCTTCCTCCATCCCGGATTCTCATCAACTCCGACTTCCTTTCGTTCCTCCACCTGACAACCTCGAGAATGGCGTCAGATCAAGACTCGTGAGTCCTATTATTCCATTATCAATTTCATCGCAAGTATACTAATATAACACAGTCTATTGATTTGTCCATTCAGAATGGAAGCCTATACGCCAATGACCACCAACTGTATCCTCCATCAGCGATAATGCAACTCAATGCGCCCCTCTACGACGGCCTAGACCAAATTGATCCCAGTGATAACACTGCGGAAGTATCCTACACGCTCGAGACTCAACCACTCCCCACAAACGAAATAGGGTCTATGGCGGATATGATCCGCGTGCGAATCGAGTTATTCGATCTGCAGGGCAACCTGGTGTCACCGGACGCAGTAGCCATCGACCTTCTCGCCTACCAAAATGGAAAGTACGGCATGACCCGCATCCGTGTCGAACCAGCTCGCGGCAGCGATCAGGATGATAATACCCACCAGAAGAGCCAGTCGTGGGTGGTGAACTACTGGAGAACACAATTCGGTTCCATTTTCGAGAAGCCGAGGACCAAGTCTAGGACCACGACGCAAACCCACGATTCGGCCTCAGTTACGGAATCTTCCACCCAGAATGGTGCTACCAAGGTCATCACCAGTGAAACCGCAACCGAATCGGGATCTCAAACTCGTTTCTTTTCGTTCTGGGCTACTCCGGCTCACCTCCACCACCACGCTGAACACCGTCGGCCTCACCACAAGCACCACCCCAAGCACTCCTTTATGCACATGATCCGTCCCATCATTCTTCCTGCTTTGCTGGGTACTGTTGCTGGGCTGTTGGCCTGTTTGGTTGGATTCTTCTTTGGAAGCCTGTTGATGTCCTTGGCGGTGCGCTTTGGATGGCAAAAGGTACTAGGCCACAAATCACGGATTATCTCAGTGGAAGAAGGCATAGTTTCTGAGAAGGCCCTCATGATGCCGCATGTTTACACGACAGAAGTTTCCGAGTCGAATGTATGACTTGGTCTGGACGACATAGGTGGCATCTGATTTTCGGCTTCTTTTACGGCGTTTTCTTGCTTTAACATACCCTCATACCACAGTTTATTTTTACTTCTTTCTTTCTGTTATCCATCTCTCTTGTTACTGATCTGTATCTATGACTCTTTTATATGCCTGGAAATGAGCATCTGAAATTACCAAATGTCACGCTCTCCTGATACACATTTGGACAAACTTTTCACAATAACAAGGCCGGCTGGCCCAATGGCAAGGCGCTTGACTACGAATCAAGAGATTGCAGGTTCGATCCCTGCGTCGGTCAACAACTTTTTGCTTCTGGTTTGCCAGATGAAAATTTTTTTTTCGGATCCACTGGACCCAGAGCCAGGTTCGGCACGACGTTGAGTGTTACGGATGTTAGGCATCCGCATTAATAGGTTTCACATTGCCACCTACGCATCCAGTCTCAAGGGCTGGATAATAAGCCTCGATTTATGTACTTCCCGAGGTCCATTTCACAAAGAGTGGTGTTGAGGTTGAGGTGTTTGATTTTGCCTTTTGCCAAGTACGGAGTACATTCCAAAAGAATTGGACTTTAGGCCCACCTTTCCAATTTTCATGACTTGGGGTATAAAATAATATGTCTACTCCGTATAGAGTACAGCATACATTGAAATTTATATGCTATCTAGGGAACCGGCAATGAGGAATCATAAGCCATCAATACTTGCGACTAAACCACATTTTCTCTCCGTTCAAAGCGGGCTCCAGATCCATGCCCATGGCCGTGGTAATTCCATTGGAACCCACTATGAATTCCGTGGCGTAGTAATCGGAGAGAGATCCAATATTCTTGGGCTGGTAGTAATGCGCCGCAAAGAACTCCCCGCTGACATGGGCGAGAGTGATAAGGGAAGGCACAGCACGGTCTAGTAGATCTGCAACCAAACACCCATTTCCGACGGATAGAGTGATGGAACCGTACGCAGCACTCTCGTATTTTCCCGCATACTGGTCTAGCGGCAGAGAATGGGGAATAACAGGATCAGGCAGAGACGGATAAAGACGTTTGATGGCTTCTTCCATACACTCGGACTTGGCTCCGATCTTCCTATTTTCTGCTTCTGTTGCCTGGCCCCCGGAGCACGGGATCCCCGACCCACCGAAAATCTGATCCAGAAGGTGCATGTAGATCTTCACCTGGGCATTTCGAGAATCGGTCGTGTTCCCCATCATAGCAAAGCCGAAGCCCTTGCTTGGTAGGAAGCCTACCATGATGCCGAATCCGGGCCAACTTCCGCTGTGCCAGTAGAACGGCTCGCCGCGGTAACTATCCACAAACCATCCCAGGGCATAGAGATGACATGGAGCCGGAGGTGGTCCGACGAGCTCATCCCAATTCGTGATTATCGTGCGTGGCTTTAAGAGTTCTGCCCGGCCCTGTGGAGAGATGGGACCCTTTTGGTAGATCATTGCGCGTAGCCACTTGGTGTACTCGAACACACTGCTCACCATCGCACCGGCGCCAGTCACAGCGACATCATTGATGTATGGTTCTGCGATGTAGGTGTTTGTGTCTGGGTCCCAGGTGTAGCCTTGCACGAGTCGAGGACGAAGGGATGGGTCCCGCGCGACATCCGTCACAGAGAAATAGGTATCGTCCATCCCCAATGGACCCCAAATGCGTTTCTTGAGAGTCTCGCCGAGAGTTCTGCCTTCGATTTGTTCCAATGCATGAGATATCACCATATACATGTTGTTGTTGTAAGAGAAGGTACTGCGGGGAGCATAGGCTATAGGAAGATGTCGCAAATTTCGAACTGCTTCGCGGAGGGATCTCTGAGGATGCGCTAAATTTAAACAAGTGTTGTGAGTTGATAGCCCTGAGCGGTGCGATAGAGCATCTTCTATGGTAGTATGCATTGTGCTGTAATCGTTCTCTAGCACAAAATCATCTCTTAGTATGGAGGCAATTGGTGTGTCCCAGCGAAGGGGGGATTCGGTATCTTTGCTATCGTCGATGGCGAGAGACATGGCCGCTGCGGTGAATGCTTTGGTGGTGCTACAAGTCGAGAAAAGAGAATCGGTAGTCATCTTGCGATCCGGAAACTCGGCGAATCCATACGCCTAAAATATGGTTTAGTGATCTGTAATAAACAACTTACTCATGGATGTTTCCATACTTTTGACCAGGTGCTGGAGCCATGAACCACGACAATGGATAGTCCCGGGACTTTCCATTTGTCCATTTGCTGCTGTACCAAGGCATCGAGCCCCGAGGTCAATGGGGAGTTTGAACTTCTGAGAACCATGGCAAATCGAACTGGGTTTGCAGTGCGATAATTGGAAGTATCTTGTCCTGGATGTTTGAATGCTGAGGTTGAAGGGTTTGAAGCGGGGAAATTCCAGATAAGCACCCTGGTCCAGGCAGTAGCGTTAACTGGTTGAACTCGATGTCATGTCAATATCATTAGTACGTGTTATAATTTACCAGTTGGCTCTATAGAAAAGGACAGATTATCCTTGTTAACATGGTATACTCGCAGAACCTCAGCCTTGACGGGAGTGGAGTCCGGGGTAGCTCAGCCACGAGGGCATAGGAAGCCAGGGATAGCGATTAAAATTTGCCAAGGGAGCAAAGGGTGAGCTTATGCAGGTTCCCAGGTAAACTGTCCAGTAGCGTTGATGTCTATACGAATAGGAGCTTCAATTGTTGCAGGCTCAGACGGGAACGTGCTGGTAAGTATCCGTGAACAGAGTCTCCGTATAGCTGCATTTACTATGTACAGAGTACTCTGTACAGATGTACATATGCTGAACTTTCTTGGCATGTAAGCCTAGACTATATCAAAATGTCAACCAGACGTGCAATTAATGAAAAAAAAAAAAAAAAAAACTACAAAGTAGGACTGGTACTTGCCATCTCACGATTTCACGTGACGCCGTCAAGCCCAGTATAAGGGACTTTGCAGTCAAATCATATGTAGGGTGCACCTCCAGCATTTAATATTATTGTGCTCCGTACGGGTATGGAAGTAGGGAGCAATCTATCGCCACAATCAATTTGATTTTTCGTAATACTATGTGCACTATCTGTATGTGGAGTACGCACGGAGTAGTGTATCTCGCGTCCAATGTGGATGTTTGATTTCGATCTGCGAAAGATTTGAATAGTTTGAAAGAGAAAAAGGGAAAAAAAGACAAAACAAGAACCAAAAAAAGAGAAGATACGAAGATTATTTCAATTCTAATAATTGTTCTGTATCTCAAATCTACCAATCCCTTCCTTTCTGGGTGGAAAGGGGTATCCCTTGACGATACTTGAAACAAGTCTTGAATCAACATACTGTACTCCGTACTCTGTACGGAGTCGATAACCTGTAAATGGAATATTCTGTACGGGGTACTGAGTATCTACGAAGTAGATAATAATATAATAATACTAAAAGGGCTCACGGGGAATAGCTCATACTCCGAGATAATTGGAGTCATGATGAAGTGTGGCTGTGTGTTCAGCCACAAACCTCAATCAAACTGAGTTTTCAATTTTCAATAGTGCGATCGGATTGTTTCCGACTATTCGACCCTTCAGATTCGTCCCGGTCTGACCCCCGATTTGGATCTGCCGATCTCCACCTGTTTGGACCTCCAGAGAGGTACCACTCCAAGGTACGGTACAATGGAGTTCAAATCGGTGAAAACCGAGGGGGTAAAAGGTAGGAAAAACCTTACCTGATGAACCATTGTCAACCTTGGTTAACCCCAGGGCCCCCCTTAATGTAGCCAACGGACAACTCCGTTGGTAAAATGGGGACTCCAATAATGGAAAAACATGGGAAAAAAGAAAAGTCAAAAAATCTGAAATCCAATTCACAGATGGGGCCCCCTGGCGATTGGTGAACCTATAAGATCGACATGGAGAAGGGGTGCGAGCTATCTCCGGGCCGATCTTCCCCCATTTCAGAGAGCAGATCCAGGATTTGGATATTGTGATGACTTCATATGGGTCAGGCAATTGATTCTTTCTCGCTCTCATCGCCACGTTGGGTAGCATAACAATCCCAACTGGCTCTGCGGACCCTGCGGGCCCTGAGAGGCAATCCACACCTGCGTTGGTGATTGGACTTTACCCTTCGCTTCATCCACTTTTTGCCTCTTTGGTTCACTATGGACACTTCGATTTGTAGTCTGGGGCAGGTGGCTGGTGAGCTTTGATGCAGAGTTTGTTTTTGTTTTCTCAGGGCTCTCTTTATAAAACGAATCCCCAGCTCCAGATTTCTTTTGGTTTCCACTCTATCATAAAATTCCTCCTTCTTCCAACACTCACCTCAAGATTACTCAATTTCTCTTCCCTAATCTCCAATCATGAAGTCTTTCTCCCCCGTTGCCCTGGCCTTGATGGCCGCCTTTGGCATGGTCGCCGCTGAGGACCCTTCTGCCTCTGAGTGTGCTGTGAGTTCAATTTCCCCTGATCACAGATTGAGTTAATATGGTCAATGCTAATTCCACCATGTCTATAGTCCATGTGTCTCTCCAACATGAGCAAGCAGGCTGCCGACTTGGGTTGCAGCGCTGGTGACCTCGCCTGCCTGTGCAAGAGCGATAACTACAAGTACGGTATCCGTGACTGCACCAAGGAGGCTTGCCCCAGCGACGATGCCGAGAAGGTTCTCGCTATGGCCATCGCCAAGTGCCCTGGTATGTAACTGCTACTAAAATCATTTTATAATACTTGATCTGGTATACTAACATTCTATCTCAGGCGGTGTTGCTGGCTCTGACGCCAGCTCCAGCTCTTCCGGCTCTGGCTCTAGCTCCACCTCCGGCTCCGACTCCAGCTCTACCTCTGGCTCTGGTGACTCCACTGCCACTGGCACCGATGCCAGCGCAACTGGTACTGGCGCAGCTGGCTCCAAGACTGCCACCGGCTCCGATGCTAGCGCCACTGGCACTGATGCCTCTGGCTCCAAGACTGCCACCGGCTCTGACGCCAACGCTACTGGCACTGGCGCCTCTGGCTCCGGTGTTAGCGGCACTGCTACCGCCACTGGCTCCGTTACCACCGTCACCGTAAGACACACTCCAGCTTCTTCCTGAAATTCACGCTGACCATATCTCTAGAGCACTGATGCCTCCGGCTCCATGGTGACCAGGACCAGCACTGGCGCCTCTTCCACCTCCACTGGCTCCGGCAGCGGCTCTGACTCCGAGTCTGGCTCCGACTCCAGCTCCACCACCTCCGGCTCCGGCTCCGGTTCCGACAGCTCTGCCTCTAGCTCTGCCGGCGCTGCTTCTTCCACCACCAGCGATGGTGCTGCTGCCCCCATGGCCACTGTTGGCAGTGGTGCTATGGGTGTCCTCGGCATGCTCGCTATCCTCGCTCTGTAAATTTCTCATGCGAAGGCGTAGAGTCCACTCTATCATGTACTCCATGTTAATTTATGGGTTATGATTCTCGTGTCGCCGTCTGGCTTGTACAGGTACACTATGGAACGGGTTCATGATGGGTACAATTATGATTTGTCTTCTCTTTGCTCTGAGGAGCTGTTAATTTAATGTCAACCGAGCTTAATGAATGAAATCTATATTATGGCATCTATCTTATACTCTCAGGGGGCTGGTACTCGATACCAACCACTGAAGGGTTCAATAGTAAATCTAACCCTGTTGTGATAACTAAATAATCTTGAGTTGGGTGTGGGGTAATTTTTATAGCTATAGCTCTGATTACATAGATGTATAATACTCCGTACTAATATTTTATTATGGTTAGCCCCTGCCCGCAGAGAAAAAGCATGTGGATTTCCATGTGATTGCGACCGGTGTAGGTCGTACCCATATTTGCCAAGTACTTACCCATATGCAACGAACTACATATGTACTCTGTAGGCACTTTATATCTGTCCTGCGTCTGCACATTTTAGGCAGGGCTATAGAGAGGTCTAGCAACAGAACCTAGTCCTAACACGGCCATCCTTTATTCCGCGGGGGAAACATGGAGTGGTTGAGCTCTCCCGTTCACCCGGACTGACACACTAGGAGGTCACCAATGTTATAAGAAGAGCATGCCTAATTCAATATTTGTGCGGAGTATAATTTAGGAAAATCCTCAAATCATCTCAAAAGTCTTTATTAATATCTAGTACTATAGTACTATCGACTTCCCTTTCTGCGTGGGATCTACGGGAAGTCCGTTTTTCCGCTACCGAGCCGAGGCACATCTTTGTCCGGGGAAGACCAGTCGGCTTCGGTCTGTCGGTGTCTCCATCATTGCGAGATCTTCGGTCATATTTTTCTTATTGGACTATTAATTACTTTTACACCTTACTCTTGGCTACTCTCCTATCTTCTGCTCCTCCTTCTCCTCCTTCTTCTCCTCCTCCTTCTTCTCCTGCTTTTTCTCATCCCCCATCTCCATCCCTGTCTCTTCCCCGCTCCGATTTGCCCACAATGTCCACCTCTACCTCCCCCACCACGCAGCAGCTGAAAGAAGAGATCAAGGTTGTTGAGACCAAGGCTGTCAACCAGACAATTGTACAGCTGCGTTCTCTCGCAGCTGGTGCCGCTGGTGGTCTATGCGCTGTGGTTGTCGGACACCCGTTTGATCTGGTGAAGGTGCGCCTGCAGACGGCCGAGAAGGGCATTTACTCAGGTGCCATGGATGTGGTCAGGAGGACAGTTGCCCGTGAAGGATTGGCTCGAGTATGATTATCACAAGCACATTGAATATTTTGCGACAGGACTGACAATGGTTTTGTAGGGATTGTATGCCGGTGTCTCCGCGCCGCTTGTTGGAGTTACTCCCATGTGTAAGTTCTCTAGCATCAGCTATAATGATTCTCACATGAGCAATTGGTCGAGTTATGAGCTAACCAGTCCTCTCTCACAGTTGCCGTCAGCTTTTGGGTATGTCCTTTTTTTTCAACTTTTGGAGCCAAGAGCTAGCTGCGAGTGCCCAATTGGAAACGATACTAACAATACTAGGGTTACGACGTGGGCAAGACTCTCGTGAATAAGTTCTCCACCGTCCCCATCAAGAACGACACCCCGCAGTACTCTATTGCCCAGATCTCTTCTGCGGGTTTCTTCTCCGCCATCCCCATGACCCTGATCACGGCACCCTTCGAGCGTGTTAAGGTCCTCCTCCAGATCCAGGGCCAGAAAACTCTGGCCCCGGGTGAGAAGCCCAAGTACTCCGGTGGTATGGATGTCGTGCGCCAGCTGTACAAGGAAGGCGGTGTTCGCAGCGTGTTCCGTGGTAGCGCTATGACGTTGGCGCGTGATGGTCCCGGCTCGGCCGCTTACTTCGCGGCCTACGAGTACATCAAGCGCTCCTTGACTCCCAAGGATGCCGAAGGCAATGTAACGGGCGAGCTCTCCCTATCCGCCGTTGTGTGTGCTGGTGGTGCTGCCGGTATCGCCATGTGGATTCCGGTCTTCCCCATTGACACTGTCAAGTCTCGCTTGCAGAGTGCATCGGGCAAGCCTACCATAGGTGGCGTTGTCCGCTCGGTTTACGCTAGCGGCGGTTTCAAGGCCTTCTTCCCTGGATTCGGTCCAGCTCTTGCTCGTGCAGTGCCTGCCAATGCCGCCACTTTCCTCGGCGTTGAACTGGCACACAAGGGCATGAAGAAGCTCTTTGACTAAATTTGATGAGAATGCTTGTGTGTACATACCATGATTGATCTCTTTTTGCAGCGTTTTGTGTTCCATCCACGGATGGTTATCTGCGACCATGATTTGACTTTGATTGGTTCGCATCTTTTCGATCACTTGCATGTATTGTGTCATTTTAGATCTTTGGTTGATGCCCGATATTCTATAGAAGACTTTCTTTGTGTGTGATTGCTGGGATTTGGCATGTCACATTAGATCTAGAATGAAGCAAATTTTTATCAGCCAACATGATTCGTAGGAATTAGGAATTTTATCAATGGGATATAGGCAGCATCCACACTTTTCCAGGGATAATTGAGGCTCAACAGGTTTTCTTTTGACTTTTTTTCGACTCCATACTTGCGCTATATCCGAATAGGCTTAGGGGGAGGAGGGGGAGTATCAGGATTGGCTGAACTAGCCTCGCCTATAAGAGCTCTTTATAGCCTGGACTTAGCGTTAATATGCCGGGCCATGATCGTGGGGGCGATGTCTGTGTCGGAGGAATTGGATGCCGATGATCTAAGGGGGTTCTATATTTAGATCATCTGTGATTTTGTAAACTTTGGAAAAGTACGGAGTACGGAGTAAATAATCAATATATGGCCATCCCAATAGAAAAAGAAAGTGTTCAAGTTCCAACTTACAAACTGAAGGTTGATCAAAGGGTACACGACAGGTACCTAAAATTGTAGGTGGAGCACCAGCAAACTCTAAGTACTGTCAGAGTATCCGCTGACTCCGGCGCTAGTGGTCTGTTGCCTGCTTTTGTATCAGATAAAAGCCCCCATCTTCCCCTCTACCTCGTCTTTCTTCCAAGATTTCCATCTCATTTTCCATCGAATATATATATCCACATATATTCACCATCGGTGTCGGCTTCATTATGTCCGTCACTAATGTCTTGATGCGTCGGGGCACCGAGCTCGCTGTCACTCATATGCAGTCGCGTAAGCCTGAGCACAAGGAGCCTAATGGAGGCTTGGTGGCTCTGTTTGCTATCACTGCTATCTTGATTGGTCTTGCTTTCTGGGCTGTAAGTAATACAATTTACCAGATATAATCTTTGTGGAACTAACACCCGACAGGTTGAGTATACCTACGGAATGATGATCTCCACTCTGGCCGCAGTCGAAGATACCAACCCCGATATCTACGTGCGCATTACTCCCAATCCCGATACCACCAAACCAACCGATGCGGAAGATGCCGAGCTGATTGGCACTACTCCTCCCAAGCCCATCACCAGCAAGTTGCGCACTACTGTGAAGCACCTACGCTCCCGTGCTGGCTTCTGGTCTCGCTTCCGTGGAATGGGAATGTTCATGGCCTACACCGCGGCCCGTGGCTTCCTGTCATCTTTCGTCCCCGTTTCTACCACTTCATATATGGGCCAGTTTATCGTTCAGTCTGCCCTGAGTGTTCTCCTGGCCACTTGGCAGATGGCCTGGGTGCACATTGTCATCTCTGAGCCCTCCCCAAAGCGCTTCTACCAGCGCATCCCCAGCTATAAGACTTGGATTAAGATTGCCCCGGCTGCTGCTCTCCAGGATGTCCTCACCGCTGCTGCTTTCTTCATCCCCATGGCCATTGCCAATTTTGCTGGTTGGCTCGATGTTTCCGGTGACCAGGAGGTCGCCCCTATTGTGGCCATCTACCGTTTCATGGGTGTCAGTGTGATTCCTGCTCTTCTGGCATTCTTGATCTCCATGCCTGCCCGTGTCATCTTTGTCCGTGTGGCTGCCTCCATGCTTCCCGAGGAGGATGAGACTATTGTGCCCTTTGATCGTTCTTTCGGGGGTAAAGTCAGCCCTGCGATTACCGGTGGTAGCGGCAAGATCGGTCTCATGGATGCATGGACTACCTTTGACTGGGCTGCTCGTGTCCGCTTCGCCAAGGTTATTGGTAAGACATTTGCCATGGAGGTGGCGCTAGGTATCTTCGCCACTCTCGTCCTTGGTGGTCAGGCCTTTTGGATTGTCAAGACTGCCAAGCCCGTTGACTCTGATACTCCTGGAATGCAAATAAGTTGGGAGTAAAAAAACAACAACCATTTGAGATCCGATGAATCTTATGTGGTGGATTGTGAGGAATGTTAGGATATGTGTGTGTTTGTGTAATTGATGCCTTTGCTATATCTATATTACTGGGAGAGATTGGAATGTTTGCCCCATACGATAGTCTTTCAACGCCCTAATGAACTATGAGATCCAAACATCATGACATTCCCAAGGTCCTCTAATCAGTGTACAACCCTTGGAAGTCCGCGGGTATAGTAGTTGATTATGTGCTCACGATGTATACCGCCTCCCTATCTAAGCCCTTTAAACCCCGCTTTAGCCTTACCGCCTTCATTTCTTTTTGCGCCCCTCACCTTCTCCTCACCTTCTCCTCTTTGTCCTCCTCTTGACATTGAAATCTGCTCCGGATATCGACTGAATCTCACCTCTCCGTCTTTCTGATTTCTCTTCCCCGACTATCAGCATGGCGACTTCTCCCGCCGGGCGCATGCTGTCCCGCCAACTGCAGCAGATGCAGTCCGATAAGGACATTCCCGGCATTAGTTGCGGCTTGGTTGATAACAACGTTTTTGAATGGGAAGTTATGCTCATGATATCGGATGATGTGAAGCTGTATGGTGGTAGGTCATCGTTTTGCTATACCTGAATTTTAGCTCGGATTCCTGGGCTGGTGCTGTGGCAAACACAACCTCGCTTGGGGATATATGGCATCCTGCCACAAGTGTGTTGAAGAGACACTGACAAGTGCTTGCATAGGTGGTTTCTTCCGGGCTCGTCTCTCTTTCCCAACAGAATATCCTCACCGGCCACCAAAGATGAAGTTTGAATCTCCTATCTTCCATCCAAATAGTATGTGGTTCCAGTTGAATTATTTCTCACAGACAATTGGCTCACAAGTTACTGCGTTTTGATAGTTTATGAGAATGGTGACGTCTGCATTTCCATTCTGCACCCACCCGAGGAGGACAAGTACGGCTATGAATCGGCCGCGGAACGTTGGTCTCCCGTGCAAACCCCCCGAGACGATCCTACTCTCCGTCATTTCCATGCTTTCCAGCCCCAACGATGAGAGCCCGGCAAATGTGGAGGCTGCTCGACTATGGCGTGAGGACCCTGCGGAGTTTAAGAAGCGCGTCCGTCGGTGTGTCCGCCTCACGTTGGACGACTAGGACACGATTTAATTATTCACGGCAATTTAAGATGGCGGGTTATGATCTGATTTAACATGGGGTTGCCGGGGTTCTTTTTCTTTCTTTTCTTGTTCAATGTACCGCGGCGAGCGGTGGTTCTCTTCCTTATTGCATAGAGTGAGCAATGCTTTGCCATGCTCTCCATCCCAGGTTCCTTTGCGGTGCATTTGCGATTTTCATGAGGGCTGGAGTTTCATCCTGATATCTTTGTTTCGCCGGGTTGGGATTAAATCTATTTTCGAAGAAACTTCAGAATATTTAACGTAAATCCAGCACAAATGTAGAGTGATGTTGATTTTTAGCTATCCATTCATTACGCTCTGATTAAGCCGAATTTATTCCACCGTCGGCAAAATGTTGGAAAGACAGAATTTTAAAAAGAACGCCAAGATGACCGCCAATATGACACACAAAACCAAGAGAAAAGAATGCGATTATGTACGGTTTTTGGGCGCGAAGCGCAGTGACGGGAGGAAGATTCCGGGATGGAAGATGGTCATGGCCAGACAGGCCAGAGCAATCATCCTAATGACACGTCAGATATGATTTCCCAGAGCTTTGAAATGAACCAAGAGACCACTTACATTCCATCCAAGACAAGGAACTCATTCTCCTTCTGCATCAGCGGGTTACCCCAGCCACCAGCCATCTCCGGGATACTAGATATCGTGATCAGTAAAGTGCCTTGTGTGGACTCGGAACATTGGCTCTTACCGATAGATGCACCGAATCAAGACTGTGAGGTAGGCAAAGGCCTCGGCGCCTACAATGAACGGCATCCACTTTGGTGCAATTGGTGAAACATCGAGGTTCTTCTCACCCGAGAAGCCATCACCATGCTTGAAGACCCTCCAGAAGAAGATGACGGCAAAGAATCCACATACAACCATCGTTCCAACCTGGAAGGCGATACCGGCGATGATAATGTTGTCGCCTGCTTTGAGCATTGCAAAGTCGTCATTGCCAGCCGCCGCAGCGACACCACCTCCTGCAGCCTGCAAAATGAGAGATCCAATATCGCATCCAATGAAGATCCAGGTGAAAAGACGCGGCTTCAAGATTGAGTGTTCGGGTCCCAAGCTCAGAATGATATGCTTCAATGTTAGGTAGACACCCGCCGCGACGAAGGTCGGCGCCAGCACCAGACACACGATCTGAAGCTTGAATGCAGGTCCAGACCATGGGTTATCATGCATGAGAACCCGCCCAATGTATCCAGCCATTTCCATAAATGTGCCAATGAGGAGAGCTATTAAGAATGTCCATGTTCGGTAATAGATGCCGAGTCCTGTTTGGCATATTCCGAGTAGAGCAAAGAATACTGTGAAGAAGATGTTTCCGCCGAAACTGGGGTAATAACCGTATGTCGTGAGTTCAACAGGGCATAGTGGGCCTACTTCGGAGCAAGTCGCATAGCTTGCCATGTTTGGGTGAAATATGTGTAGTCAAAGGAAAGAGAGATGGAGGAGAGGAAGGAGAATGAAGAGAGAGGGAGCCGAGTGAGAGGTGTAAGTTCTAGGAGTGAGATGATAAGACCCAAAGAAAAGAAAACAGGGTCTAGAGTAATCTCACACCTCTCAAGCCTTGAACTGAGAAGTTGATATCAAATCACATAATTACAACCACCACAGCAAGTGGAGTCCTAAATTGGATTAACCACCTAGGATGAAACCGCCCCCAAATGTATTGCTATTGGTGTTTATGGTGCCCGTTTTCGTTCTCGTTCTCGTTCTCGCTGTCCCCACGTCGCTTACATCGGATCCACTTCTTTTCTACTTAGTAGGAGTATATACGCTTGGATCCTGTCGGAGAATTGCTGTTTTTGATCCGACATCTCTTTGGAGATCTCTTTCCCTCCCCTTTCTTTTTTCTTTCTAGAATCTATAAAACCTAGATAATGTCGATCAGGACCAAGTTCATAGTTTCAAATTCTCTCTAGGGCTCTATGGACACATGTGAATCGTGATCATACTAAGGCTGATGCCTAAGTGTGTATATTGGCTGATGGGGGGAAGGAAGGGGGCGAAGCAACGGAATATCAAATGAGAATGATCCGACAAATAAATAGGCAGAAACTGTACAAAGACAAACTGATAGTACTTCGGATAGACGTGAATAGTGGTTTTATAGTTGCAGTCCACGTGACACCTTCATATTATCTTCTTCTCTCCCGCGCTTGGACTCGTCCGCATCTTGAAAGAGTCCGAGCAAAACCGGTTACATGGGCCCTCAGGTACCGAGGTTTCCGAGATGCCTCCTCGCCGAGCGCATACAAAATCTCGCCAAGGATGCGACCAGTGCAAGAGACGTCGCGTCAAGGTTAGTGACGGAAGTTCAAGACGGCCCCATAGTTTGCGCTTCGGGCTCCATTAAATAACGCGACTAACGGCAGCAGTGTGACGAAAAGGGGCCACCGTGCTCCAATTGTATCTCGCGGGAACTCTCATGCACATATTTAAGGGCGCCACCTCGGCCCGATTCACGAAAAAGCGAGACCCCGGCCTCGTTGGCTACTATAGATCCAACTCCCCTGCGGCCGAGGATCCCTAGCCTAGCGGCTTCCTTCTCTCCAACCATTTCAGGGGTGCGAGATCTAGAGCTTATGCATAAGTTTTCCACCGAAACCTTTATGAGTCTTTGCTCTTCCAACTCGGAGCATTATGTCTGGCAAATTGCCATTCCTCGCCTGGCCCTTCAGTATGATTTTCTAATGAATGGTATTTTGGCCTTGGGCGCTCTTCATATTGCCGCAACGATTGAGCCACCGGAATCGCTGGTGTACATTGACACCGCCTTGCAATATCACAATCTCACGTTTGCACCATATCGAGCAGCTGTTGACAGTATCAATCCACTGAACTGCGAGGCTGCGCTGGCACAGTCCATTATCACCACCGTTATCGGCATTGCTCTTCCAAGAGTCACCGCTGCCCGCGGAGAAAATTCAAGCATAACGGAGAATATTGTCGTGGTATTTGAACTCTTGCAAGGTGTGAGAAAGATCCATCATATTGGTGCATCTTGGATCAAATTAGAGCTATTTTCCCGTCGAAAAAACCCTTGGGATCCTGGATCAGCCAGTCTAGATAGCGACACGGGGGCTGCCCTCGAGCGACTCGGTACTTTGAATGACGAGACCCTCGCCAGTATTGATCCAGTTCAGCACCAGGTCAACAAAGATGCTATTCTCTACTTGCGGCACTTCTCAACCCGAGTGGCCAATTCTGTTGACCCCGCCAACGTCCTGGCTTGGCTCGCTATGCTTGATAAGGAATTCGTGGATAATGTGCGACGCCGACAGCCCTTAGCATTGTTGATCCTCATGCACTGGGCTGTGTTGCTTGGGGAGCTTGATGGCCAACATTGGTGGGCTCGAGACTCGGGCCGGGCATTGATCTCCGAGTTATTGGATGTGTTGCATCCCGAAGATATGGAATGGGCTAACGCTTTGGCTTGGCCCCAAAAAAAGATGGGACTCTGATGAAACGTTCAAAATTAGATCGTCAACGACCAATCTGGAGCCTAAATAGCCGGTATCCGCGCAGAAAGGATTCCCCGAGGGATCAGATTATGCCTTCAACAACCCACTATGTATTGCCCTAATTCTTGTACAATGCAGTGCACAGCCCGAATCCACCATTCATATGGTGAAAATGTCAAAAAAGAAGAAAACAAGGAGAAAGAAGGTAACTTCGAAGAAGCCATGCCCATGTATCACTACCAGTCCTATTACTGTGTACTAGTCAGTTTGTATTGTACATGACATATAATTTTAATCGATTGTTGAATCACGGCGTATTTAACTTGTATAGTCTATAGACTCATCAGCAATTCAATCCCGTTGAACACTACACATCTTCAGCCCTGGCCCTGGTTGGAGCACTAAAAGTTAACTTTTTAGATGGAATGCATACTACAGAACAATTTGTCTTTAAATGTTATTTACGAAGGCCAGCGCATTAATTGCAGCTCTAAATTCAAGAGATACGCATTCAAGTGACGTGTCTCTCAGACTAGTTATCATTTCACGAAGGTCCAAACAAGGGTACACAGGTTTGTTAATGGTTTCCACTAGGACTCTATGGTATCAATAGGGTTTCTAGTTTCAATTCAAATAGGAGCTGGGGCACCCCTTCAGGCAGTGTTTCTGACCAAATGTCTTGCTGCACTGGCAAAACCTCAAGCTGACTTTTCGCAGCTTCGGTCCGAGACAAAGTTTTGGGCTGGGATGCACGTCGTCTTGGCTTTTGTACAGTTCTTCGCTTACTCGGCTCAAGCCTCTATGCTGGGAAAATATACAGAGAGGCATATGCGTCGTCCCGGTGGCCTGTCCTTTTGGGCTCTACTCGACAAAGACATGTCTTTGTAGAATCATTCGATTCCGCGTCATGGCTTAGCTTGACGCCCATCTTCATCAAGTATATCAAAAACAGCATCACTAGCCAGTGAAACAGTCTTGACTATCCGCACTTTCATATCTCTAAATCGGGAGTCCAATGTTGCTGCAGTATTCCACAATAAGCTAAGGTGTGGGCGTTGTTTTGCAAGGTTGAGCCTACAGGACCTTGAGAATAGATGTGAACTCTTTCGTTCAACTTTCCCCAAATTCCTTTGTTCCATTGTTTACATTTAATCTTGATCAAGTATACAACCACTGCGATTGTGACATTTCTATCTTTGAGCTGTTGGCTGTTGAGTCTCTTACAGCCAGTGCAACAAACCCAGCTTATTTGAATCGAATATACTTCCAAGAGAGGAAGTCCTTCTCCGATATAAACCCAATAGAGATCGATTGAGCAAGTACTATGATAGGCGGAGTGCGGACTATACGAAGTTGGTGTATCGTGTAAACATATTCGTCCAGCTGTCTCAGATACCT